GGCGTACTCGAGCGTTGCGATCGCGATATTCGCGATCGCAACGCTCGAGTACGCCGTATACTACCCTACCCTACTACCCTATTCAATTATATGTGTATCAAAACAAACTAAAAAAAAAAAAATCGCAACGCTAATTTTTTTTAAGTTTGTTTTGATACACATATAATTTAATAGGGTAGTATTTTTTTTTACAAATTTAGTGGATAGCAATTGTAAAAAATGAGTGAAAACAAACCCACGGACAATGCGACGGATTTAAGGTTATGCCAATATACGTCTCTTGTGAATATCAAATGATTGTTAGGTTTTCTCTTCTGAAATTACATTATGACGCATTCACATACATTATTAATGCAAATACATTTTCCAGGGCGAGACGATGAGCAACCACAAGCACTTCCACTGGTCGACGAGAGAAAAATGCACAATATTACCGTTATTACAGAGCACGGAAGCGAGCGGAGCAGGAAAAAGAGTCGTTGAATAGAACTAGTGATCCTTCTACGACTGCTGATTCTTCTACAATTAACGTCGCAGGCTGCGAAGTTTAACTTCTTCCGCATGGAGGGACTCCACGCACTATATTTTTTTCCTCACATATTTATTACTTTGTTTTATAAGCTCGTGCTCTAGTAGATATCCATCACCGGTCAAGATAGTATTTTAACACTGATATTGAAATTTTTTAAACAAATTAAAAACGTAATAAAGGATGATGAAAACCATTCCCTGTTCGAGTTGGTGTAAATCTCGTCGACTGGTAAAATTTTTTCTCACTTATTTCTTCGTATTGAGTCACACAAACTGTATTTTTTAAGTTAAATTTTTCTTTCACGTACAGATGGTTATTTTTCAAAGCTAAGTGATCGTCGATTTCGTTTCAATGAAAATATTAATAAAATGTTTTTGCATCGAACTATAATAATTAAATATATTGAATACAAAATGTTCTGCGTTTAATTACAGGAGTTGAAGAGGTACATCTATTATATATAATTCTCTTACGTGGCTCTCAAATTTTGGCTGTATTTCTTTTCCGCCTGTGGCAACGTTTGCTTTGTTTTGTTTACGTTTTGAAAACACCAAAGCATTCTGCCTTTTAATGATGTGTTTTCTGATTAAGAATTAAGGATGGATTTAAGAAGAGCTGTGAAGTATTATTGCAATAGTATTTACTTTATTTTCTTCATTTATAAAGAGAACAGTCGGCAGAGAATTCTGTTAGGTTAAAAAACATTTTGCTAAAAAAAGAAAGAATTCTAAAAGAAATAAAAATAAACAACTTAAAAAATAAAAATGCTGTTGCCAGTCATAGAATTTTTTGAAAGTTATGTTTATTTGGGGGAAATTTGAATTGTTAACAATGACTTAAACAAAAAATTTTATCTTAACTGACAAATACTATATTATAATTTTAACTTTTTCTATGACTATACTCATTTTCTTACTCTTTGTTTTTTTATACATTTTATATTTTTGTGATAAAATAAAAAACTTATAGTTGTTCTGCTTCTGAACACTGATGAAAACACGAAATGATGGGCTTCATCAGCAATCAAAAATAAATACATTTATTTTACAAATTCCATATTATTTGGATGGCGCCCATCAGAGAATTAAAAATACAAAATTATCTTCATCGAAGCCGATGCTTTACATCCGGCGTTCAGTACTATTTCATGTTGTTTTACAATACATGGCTTTAACCCTCTGGTAGGAAACACTTTAAAACAAAACTTACAACAGTTACCTTTCTCATCAACTGAAATTTAGAATAGTGATTAAGAAAAAAATGTTAACTGTTTGCAATTTCAAATTAATATTGAAATTTACAGGTTTAGAATTTTCTAGAGTGAAAAGTTTTCGGAACTTCAGTATTCAAAGAAGTATACAAAAGCTAGACGTTAAGAACGTATCCAATGAGCGAGCAAAGCGAGCATTGGATTGCGAAGCAATCCGAAATGAAATGCGAAAGCAGTTCTGGGGGTTGGCGAGAGCCAGCGAGCAGGGGGCGAAGCCTCCTAGTTAATAATATTACTTTTAATGGAATCTTATTAATAAAGTTGTTTTCTAAAGCAGAAAAAAAAAATTTCATTTCTTAAATATTGCTAAATTATTATATTAAGACTAGCATCAGCAGCTAGACCAAGCTACCAGCTCTTACGATTTTAATGTAGAAATTTCTTTCTGGTAAAAACATATATGCTTGAATACTCGAATCTTAGTTCAATAATTATGTTGAGAACGTTAGTAATTATTCCTTTTATTTTTAAGTAGTACTTTGGATGGAAAAAATTTCTCCAAAAATGTTAAGTACTCCAATAGTTTTTACGCTATTGAAAAATTCTTTCGCCAATAATGTGAAACCTGGCAGCTTTGATGGATGATGGTGCCCTGGTTCATGCTTATTTTTATTTTTTCATTGATAAAGGTAGATTTCTTTAGTACAGTAGATTATTTAAATGACGGTTTTTAAAATTTTAGTTGATTTTTTTTAAAAAAGTTACTTTGATTTATCAGACTAGTGTTCTCCTTTCTGAAAACTCCTGGTGGAACCCTTGAATATTAAATGATACTAATAAACAATCCACTTTTATCAAAGAATTCAAAACACTTAAGTGAAGCTAAATATTATTCATTGTCTACTTACCCAAAGATATAAGTGCTGCAATATAGATTGCCTTTCATTTGTCGAGATGTTATAGTCTTCAGAACTATGGTGAACATGGTGAGTTGCCCATAAAATATTTATTTCTGAAATAAAGTTGTAATATATAACTGGAAATGTTGACCATCACATAGTCGCTTTGGTAAATATCCGAAATACATACTAGGTCTAGTTAAACGCCACTGCCTGATACACATTTTCCAGGCATGCCCTACATCAATGTTTTAAGGTTCAGTGCCACTGGCCGGTATACATTTACCCGGTGAGCAGTACATCAATGTTTTTTTTAAGATCAAGTACTACTACTCAGTATACATTTAATCGGTTTTCCGAACACTTCTCTTAATCTATTCTCAGCAGATATTAAAATATCGAATAAATATTCACCGGTGAAAGTCAATATTCTCTTGCTTTCGATCATTAACGGTAACATATACATAGAAAGAACAAATTATGCTAATACTTGTACTCGTAGAAAAGAAATTGCTAATAAACTTCTTAAAACATTTTTAAAATCAGTAATGCCTGTTAATATAATGCCACCTTGTTGTTGATTACATCATATCATATCTCACCTAGTCTGTTGTGACTTTTTTTATGAGTTTGACTTCTTTTCCCCCAAAATTGAACTTTTTTGTATAATTATAAAGTCTAAAAATTCTGATTACCGTTGCGTAATAACGGCGAAAATCCTACAATCTCGTTATTCAATAATTAATAAATTTATTTTTTATTCTTAAACTGAATCGGTACATATGTTGTGATTAATGTTGTGACTAATTTTCTTCCATATTTTCGGACGAATGTAATAAATATGATGCTAATGAAGTCGATTAAAACGATAATTGTAATGAAGTGCGAAATACTACTTATATTGCGGCAGATTATTGAACTGATAAGTTCAAAGAACGCAAGTAAAAAATACATATTAAACTAGCTGTACCCGCTCACACGTTGCTGTGATTAATGATCAAATGTATACAATACATCAAAATGAAAATTAATGATAAAATTATCCCTACATATATTTCACTTGAATATAACAAAACATGGATACACATAGTTGATGGTAGAATAAACATGTTTCTTCACTTGTGGTATTAAACAATACATCATGAAATGAAGGATATTTGATGATTGATGGTGAACTTTATCTTAGTAGTGCTTGTAAATATACAATATTTTTTGTTTTCCCATCTGGTGCAAGAACAAGTAAATTTGATGGTTTTCCAACACGTGAACACGCAACGTACAGCTGTTCATGTGAGAAGCATGGATTTATCAAATTTAATCCACATACTTGCAATGATTGTCCCTGTGCTTTGTTAATGGTCATTGCAAAGGCTAGTCGTACAGGAAACTGTAGACGTTTGAATTCAAATGGAGTATCCGTTGGTATCATGGGAATGAGTGGTATTAGTTCATGTTCTCCTGGGAGTTTTCCATTTAAAATGGTTGCCTCAATTATGTTATTCATTAATGTTTTTACTGATAGCCTAGTCCTATTGCATAGTCGTGGTGGATTTATATTTCGTAGAAGGATGATTGGGGAACCAATTTTCAAAGATAAAATATGCGGTGGCATTCCTGGTAGATCCAATGAATTTAAAAATTCTATTGGATAATTGGGTATAATATAAAAAAACACAACTACTTCTACTTAGTAGGAATAACATTTACCATGACGCAATGCTAAATTCTATGCCACTATCCACATAAATGCCGCTATCCACATAAATCAATTATTAATCAAAAATCGAATATCAATTACTTTTCTTTATAATGCAATAAAATCTGGCGAGCAGCTATTTAAACGATCAAACACTTCGTTTGTTTATTTGTGGCTTGAAGTTAGGCTCGCAGAAAATGCTGTTCATGGGTTAAATTTAGTAGGAATAACACAATCTGTGACGTAGGCAATAGTATACCCAATTAACTGATTCATCTTGATTGACAACAGTATCTATGGATTTATATGTTGTTTCTTCATCAGGTATTTCATTTTGAATTTTGCAGTTTATTAAATTCATATCAATGTTTTTGGCTGCCAATATAGCACTTTCATTAACCCATTTTTTATAATTCTGCGATAAATTTGGAAAAACTTTTGCAATCAATTCATCAGTGGATTTTACAATGTGACAAAAGTTTTCTGGTAATGTAATACAGTGTGTGGATTGGTCCATTTCCATTTTACCATTCCCAATATCTAGCAATTGTTTTGCAAATCGTTCAGAAGATATTTTCTCCACATACCGCCGTAACACTGATGATTTGAGACATGCATTCAATTCATCTGCTGGTGTTGAAAGGGGTATAACTGGTAGAGTTTGTCTAAAATCACCAGCTAGCAAAATGAGTGCACCACCAAAGAGCTGCTCATTTCCTCTCAAATCTTTTAATGTGCGATTGAGTGCTTCCAATGATTTCTTGTGTGCCATGGTCCATTTATCCCATATTATAAGCTGACATGATCTTAGTACTTTTCCCATCCCAGAATCTTTGCTAATATTACATGTTGGAGTTTCAATTACCTGCACATTTAATGGCAATTTCAATGCTGAATGTGCTGTTCGACCACCGTCCAAAAGAGTTGCTGCAATAGCAAGTGCAATATTATTTTGTGATCTTATAGTTGCCAGAATAATTGAAATAAGAAAAGTTTTGCCAGTACCACCAGGTGCATCTAAGAAATATAAGCCACAACTCTTGTTAGATATTGCATTTATAATTGTGTCATATGCTGTTCGTTGTTCTAATACCAATTTCGGTAGATTAATTCGAACAAATGCTTGCAATTCATTAACATCGAAGTGCGTTTCTCGTTGTATATCACGATCGAAAATGTCATTACCAGATTTATTTGGAGCAATCATTCCCAATTCTGTCAGTGATTCGTTGGCTATTGTCAAACATACATTCTCAATTAAAATCTATGCTTCATTGTATATATTTGATGTAAATTGAATGTTAGGATTAGCATTTATTCTACGCATGCGATGTAAAATGTCTTCACTCATATAGTCTTTATATTTTTCCCAAAGATCCTTTGAATTAGCCGGAAAACATGTAGTTAGTATGATGGAAAATAGTGTACGTAGTGAGCTGTATTAGAAGCATCAGCGAGTGAAATATCCCAATGAGCATCGTTTTCTAAGAGATTTAATTTCTGGCAAGCCTCATGAAATGTAGCACACACATTGACTCATTGACACATTGACACATTGGTCATTGACTGTTTTTAATTCTTGGAAAGATGTTGGTCCACGAACATTGATTAATAATAATCTCAGGTAATAGCATTCTGCGTTATTTGGATGTACAGTGTACAGACGACCCAATGCATCTGTGGAGTATAAATTTAGATGACCTTGTACTGCTCTACCTTGTTTACGACGCTGAAATTTTCTTGCTGATGTATTCAACGTAAAATAAGTTGGTACTGCAGAGTACAGTAGTGTCCTTGCAAAGATATCATTTCTACATAATGTGAAATATTCAGTTAATGTTGTTGGCGGTGGTGACATTGCTCTTGCACGTACATTTTCTGATGTAAAATACACACGATGTCCATTTTCAAGATGTACTGCTAAATGAACAACCGTTGGATATCGCTCATGAATGGAAAATGATAAAATACGCCTTACAGCTTCATTACTACTGATGTAGCGTACCAGTTGATATTGGGTGACTTCATCGTTAGAAGCAGTTGTATTTTCCAGTGCATACACTGCCATATCGCTTCCTTTGTTCACATATTTGCAAATATATTTTATAGCTTTCACTGAATTGCAGTACTCAACATTTATGTGCTCGTTATACGTTTTTAGTAGTAATGGAGAATATGGTACTACCCAACGATTATCAACATCAATAGTATTGTTGAGTACTTTTAGTTTAATGGATTTTCCACCATCTTCGGTAGATCGTCGTCGATAGAGTGGATATCCATCATTGCCTGTAATAGTTTCAGCAAGTAAGTCTCTAGGATACCGCTTTGTGCACTTTCCATCTGACATGCATGGTGAATTATTATTTAGTGAGCCACATGGACCGTGAATCATATTTTTTGAGACAATATCGTGCAAATCTTTATCAATTTCAATGTCTGGTATTTCTGCAGAGATGATTTCATCAATTCTGTTAGGTGTTATCTTTTCCATCATCCATATTAAAATATGCGCATGTGGTAAACCTCTTTTTTGCCATTCAATGGAATACATCCAACAGCGCGTCTCTCCAAATACATGGTGTTTGACAATAAAATCCATTAAGGATTTTAACTTTTGTTTAAATACACGTGCAGAAATATCATGACGATCTGATGGTGATTGTCCAGTTAATAGAAGCTCCTTTATTTCATCCCATGCTGGGTTACATGTGAATGTGATGAAAAAATCTGGACGACCATATGCACGAACATGCGTCATTGCATCTTGTGCATATTTATGCATGTGTCTTGGGCTGCCTGTATATGTGGATGGTAAAATGACTATTTTTCCAATTTCACTGAGATTGCCATCATTTACAACTGCATCACGTAAATGGATGTATTCTTCAGAACGCAATTTGAGTTGATTTAGTCGTATGTAGAGGAGTCTTTCACTTTCTATTTTTGCATACATGTCAACAATGTATTGATGAAATAATTGTCTGCATTTCAATATATGATTATCAGCATTCTCACGAATCATCATTCGATATGCAGAATAATGCATAGCACTGACCTTTTTGTTAATGTCCACATTAGTTGTAGGATTTCTCATATTAATAAAATGATAATTAATATTAATTAATGATAATTAATATTAATATGAATTTAATAATTCTCTCCTTGCCAAAATAGAATGGGATATTGTAATGCATCATATGAACGATGCGTTTCTGATACTTTCTGGACTTCACCATCTCTACGATAAAGAATTAAGTTGCGAGAAGTAAATTCTTCACCAACTATGACAATTGCCACTTCATCAATCGTTGGTGCGTTGAATTTTCTTCAATGTTGACCAACAGGTGTTTTATCTGCTTTTATTATTACTTTGTAATCGTCAGATGGCATTTGTTCAATAGCGGTTTTAAATAATTTAATTAATTCATTATGTTGTTCAAAAAAATTTTGTAATTCAGCGACAATCTCTCGTTTAGTACTCATATTCAGTTGACACCATCTGTTGATTTGTTCGTCAGTATTTCCCATAAAATATATCTGAAGATATTTGTGATCAGCATTTGGCAAGGGTAGTAGTGATCCAGCATGGTGATAAATTTGCCCTTGCACTTTCAATGTTGGCATATAATTTGCGCAAACGATATTCGTTGCTCCGAACGATGTCATTTGGAAGCATGAATTGTACTTGCGTATATTTTTTAAAAAATTTTTTGATTGACTTGTTTCACCTGATACTAAAGTTAGTAATGGTTCAGGTGGTGAACGCAAATTTGGTAACTCTACTTTTCCACCTGCACAGCACATACCTGGTGTTTCATTTTTAAATTTTAGAGCACCACAATACGTACACTTTTTATCCATTTTTCCAATAATTACACTTGGATGAAGACTGTAATTGTAAAGGGGATTGTAATTGAAACCACACAAATTCAAATCAGTATGTATCGTTCGTCTTGTCTGTGTTCCGCGAATTCGATTCCTTTACTGCCTTGCTAGCCTCTGTTCACTCGTTTCTAATGATCGATCTAGAGCAGTGTGATCTCGATCTCTTTCTTGCCTAGCTTGTCTCTGCTCACTTGTTTCTAATGATCGAGCAAGAGCAGTGTGATCTCGATCTCTTTCTTGCCTAGCTTGTCTCTGTTCACTTGTTCTAATGATCGAGCAAGAGCAGTGTGATCTCGCTCTCTTTCTTGCCTAGCTTGTCTCTGCTCACTTGTTTCTGAAGCTCGTTCTTTTCTTCTCCTTTTTGCTTGATTTGTAGATCGACCAATGGTACTTCGCTTTGGTGGCGTAATTGAGGGGTTAAATAAAACGTATTTCCAGAAAATATTAATAATTTTCACGTATTAATAGTTTATTCTCGTATTAATAACTGCAAAAGTTTTTTGATATCTTAAAAAACAACCTACAAACGTATTACATCTTATAAAAAATAATAGAAGTTGCCATCTTCAGTCATTGTAAAGTAGGAATAATAGTGAATTTGATATTACGCGAATAATACAAATTATAACAATAATACAAACAATCTAGCCAATATCACATTATGTCATATTACATTACCAATTAAATGTTATTTTGATATTTTTCGAATAAAATTTGTTTTTGCCTTGATATTTATTAAACAGTTTTCACAATTCGCGATTGCAACGAACTATAGGGGGCGTTGTTGTATGAGACTAATACCTGCGAATTCTATATGAACAGTCATTCATTTACTCTAGAGATTTAATGTAGCGTGTAACATTGCAACGTTCCTTCTTTATCTTGGCTAATTAAATTTAAAAAAGAAAAATGTTTAATATCCTTTCTTATGCAAACGAAAACAAAATGGTATCTCTTTTTTTTAGAGAAGGAACATCCAAAACACATCGGAAAAATATTTGCACATAAACAGAAAAAAATATGTATATTCTTATAACAGTTAAAACCTAATTCCCGAGAAACAGTTTTACTAAATTTAATGATATAACATGAAAGGCCTATTTAAACTTTACTTTCCATAGTTTTAAGAATCATATTATTTCAAAAATTTAAATGAACAAAAAATATGCATAAGCCTCATTTTATGAAATTTCATTTATTAAAAAATGTTTTTTGACAACATTTTTTATCAAAAAATTTCAAGTTTCAATAAAAATCATTATTTAGAAACTAAGAAACGTAAAATAAAGAATGCTGACGAAACAAAAACAAAAAAACAATTCTTTTTTGTCGCCATTTTTAGTGCTACGAATATTCGTCTTTGGGATTTGCCAAAAACAAAACAAGATGCAATTTTATTTTTTCAGGAGGGAAATATTTTACCGAAAAAACGAAAATGTACCAATTCCCACAACAT